GAGGATAGCCGGGGATGGGGGCAGCTGGTGCTGACCCAGGTGAGAGGGCTCAGCCAGGCTCTCCGAGGGCTGAAGGACAAGGCGAGATGTCTCCAGTCGGAGGGTGGGCTTGTGGTCCTGGGGAGCCAGACAGGGTGACTGTACGTGTCCAGAACGAACAAGGCTCTGAGCGCTTCTGTCTGGGGCCCTGCCTGCTCCTGCTCTGCTGCGGCCCCTCACCCTTTGTCTCTGTCTCCCCAGGCCCCAGACTCGCTGCGCAGGTCTCCCAGCACCCACGCAGGGCTATCTGCAAGAGCAGCACCTCTGTGAAGATAGAGTGCCATGCGACGGGCATCCAGGCCACCACGGTGCTGTGGTACCGCCAGGCCCCGGGACAGAGCTTCACCCAGATCGCAACTTCTACACAGGGCTCCGACGCCACCTACGAGCAGGGCTTTTCCAAGGCCAGGTTCCCCGTCAGCCACCCAAACCTCACGTTTTCAGCTCTGACCGTGACTGGCGTCCAGCCCGAGGACAGCAGTGTCTACTTCTGTGCAGTCAGTGACACAGCGCCGGGCACTGACCGGGGACACGAGCAAGAACCTCAGCCTCCCCTCCTGCTCCCTCTGGCTCTGTGGTTCCTGGGAAAGTGCACAGGGCAGGAAACCACAGCTCCTTCAATGGAGACACCTGTGTCTCTGTGTGCATGCGCGTGTGTGCGTGTGTGTGTGTGTGTGTCTCCACACAAACAGAGAGAGAACGAGTGGGAGTGGACAACATAACTTGAGAAACCCAGAAAGCAGTCATGGCGCTGGGTCAATAAAGTGACCACTGACATCACAATGTGCCTGGATTGAAACTGACAAAGCCTGGGAGGTTGTCCGGGCTCGGCGACATCATCGTGGAAAACGTGGTTGGGAAAAGATGGCTATAGGTCAATCCAGAGGAGCATCTATGAAATGGGATACATGTGCCCTGTGCCTCTCCGGGTCTATTCCACAAAGTCCCACCCTCTGCTGGTCCCTCAGCCTGGCAGAGAGCCTCCTTCAGGAGAGTTTTCCTGGAACACCACCTCCCCACCCCCCCAGGGATGTGACAGGCGAATAAACAGTGGACCAAGGACAGCAGAGGAATTACCTGAGCCACATTAGTAACACATCTGTGTGACTTGGGGTTGACTAGATAAACAAATCCAGAGCCAGTGGTGGTGGAAGCATCTCAGCTCTGGTGGGGTTCTCCATGTGGCTCCTCTAGCTGCAGCATAGATCCATGTGTCTTGTCAACAGAAATGTCTTGTATGCAGAGTATGTATCCCACCTCCAGGGAGGAAGACAGGACTTCCCAGAATCCTCATGAGAAAGCCATGCCCACACGGAGGCCTCATTGACTATGGCCTGATTGACAGGAGAGACTCCACCCCTTCGCTCAAGTTGACAGGAGATGATGTAACTGATGATGTCTCCTTGGGATTGTGGTGAATATAAGACACCCTGAGGAGAACTGGCCTCTCTCTTTCACCCCTCTTTTCCTTCCTGCTTGCTTGGTTCCTGTATCTGGCTTGAGAGCTAGCAGCCCATGTGGTCTGCTCTCTCTGGAAGCTGCCA